AATGGAGGTCGGCATCTTCGTATTTGGCTGGATCGGCCTCGTAGTCCAGGAGGCCTTCCTTGACGGCAGCTTCCACCATTTGCAACACGTTTTCAAAGGCTGGTATGTCGCCTGCGCGAGACTTGCCTAGTGCGTCGCGGATGTGGTGGTGCTTTGCGACGAGGGGGCGGAGGAGGTGGAAGAGGTGGGGTTGCATGGCGAGGAGGTTCGGTGAGGTGGTTCTTTGCTGCTTGTTGTCGCGCTTTTGCTTTTTGGTTGGGGGCTGGCCATCGGTGTCTTCGCTGGCAGGGCCGTGGAGGGTGGTTGGAGGATCTTCGACGGGAGGGTCGGAGGGGAGGAAGAGGGGGTTTCGCTTCGGTGTGGGCTTTTCCAGAACGTATTGGTAGAGGATGTCCATGTACCTCCGGAAGACGGCGTCCATACGGTAGCCACCCTTCCCGTTTCTGCCTCTCCAATATTCTCGAGTCTCTGAGCCAGAACGTGGTGGCTTGGCAAAGATTGTTGGGTCGTACAAATTCCCCTCTGCGCTCATGACCCCGTCGGCATGCGTTTCTTCAAGGCATCTATAGATATCCTCGTGCCGTAGGATGTTGCCGTTTGCAAAGATGACTGTATCCGGAGGTAGCCTTTCCCTCAGATACCGCAGCACAGACCAGTCCGCCAAGCCTGTCTTGTGTCCCTTCTGATCTCTATGCCGTCCATGCACAGTGATAACGCTTGCGCCAGCTGATAGTATCATCTGGGCATATTCTAGCGTCTTCTCCTTCGACTCCAGTATGCGCATCTTTACCGTGACTGGTATGTCCAGATTCATATGTAGCTTATTAATCAGCTTGTAGATCAAGTCCCAATCCTCCTGCAAGAACGCCCCATAGTTTCCCCTCTTCGCGATGCCCTGCGGACAGCCCAAGTTAAGATCAATGGCGTCGCAAAAGGGCTCAACGTAGCGTGCAGCTTGAAGGAGCTCATCTGGATCATTGGCGCAGAACTGGACGAAGAGTGGTCGGTCAATTGTAGGGCGGCCGTCGAGGTACAGGTCTGCTGAAGGTTGTTCAATATCGTTCTTTGGAGGAGTGGCAAGCCCTGATCTCGTTGGCTGGAAATGATGGTCTCGGAATTTCGGTGTCTCGGTGAACATGCGTGAGTGGATCATAGGGGTATAAGCTAGGAGGTCTTTCGAGGCTTCAGGGCTCATGAAGGATCTGGTGAGCATGCGCCATGCCTAGTGAGCCTTGTCAGTGCCGTCAGCGACAGGAGAGGCGAATGAAATAGCATACGAACTCTGACTGGTCCACCATTGGCGCCAGAACCATCTTCGGGCTACCCAAGTTTTGAAAGAAAGCTCGACCCGTCAGCTTCCGCCTTTTCGCTGGCGATGGAGGATTGGTAGACGCTGGCGTTGGGGGCTCGTTGGCCATGGATTTAATCTGGGTGCTGGTCATGCTTGCTATGAATCTTGACCAGAAAGACAATCCGTAGCGTGCTTTAGGTGAGTATGCAGGCCGAAAGGCTCGGCACAAAATGACACCCAGTCCGAGGTAATGGTGGTCCGGGGACAGCCACTGCATTTGCTCATGGAGAGAGGAATTTCTGTGAGGCGCCAAAAGGTGGGCCTGCAAACTCCGGTTCACTAACCCCGGGGCAGGCAGCCTAAGAAGAGCTACTCGTAAAGGCTGCTAATGGCTGTGACAGGTCAATCATCGATAGTCATACTCTGTCATGCTTCATTCCAAGCTGCCAATGAATCTAAGCTACACAGCTATGCTGCTCTTGATCGACCAATAGCATCGTTCTGGTACTCTCCTCTGTCGCAAGCCTGGTTACGGGGCTCTGGCCCATTAGCAAGGCGCGCTGTATTGCCTGCTCTGGTCAATACTTCGAGCTCAAAATCTGCACGGCGCTCTCCATGTCACGAAGTCACATTCAAGCAGTTCGGGCCCTTCAAAGTGAACAAATAATTCTTCACATAACTCCTGCGACGCTGGAATTTGAAGACGTCCTGCCCGGCAGACTGCCAGAATGTCGTTATCTTCTACCACACCAGAGCTCGCTCTTAGGCGTCTAACAATGAGGTGCTTGTAGTGTGAATCATAATGCCTTTGAGACAAGAGGCGAACATTTCGTTACTGTGATGCCAGTTTGTGTGAACAGCAGCCATTCGAGGCGCTGTTCACCGCTCCTAGAAATGCGCCCTCTCTTTTGCTAATCCTTAACGACCGTTCTGCTCTCACATCTAGATTCTAGAGGCTAAATGTCTATGATGCTTCAACGATGGAATGTCAACGCCCACGAAATTGGCATCTTGGAGCGGCTCAACGCCTCCAAATACTGACAAGATCGACGTCTAACAACAAATTTTCATTCTCAAATGCTCAACTCGAACGACTCTCACGCTACACTCTCAGATATCTCCGGCTTGACGTTGACTTGGGACCGGTATGACAGACTCAAAAATCTGATCGCTCCGCCTGCTATTTTGCCACTGTCATCCTAATCGGATTCATCACCTTTTGGGTAGTCATGCACCTTGTCGCTGTTGTCTAACTGCTTTAAGGTAGCCTTCATCTTTGGATGATTCGACGGCATGGCAGCCCCTACTCTTGGGCTGTTAGAGTCTGCTGCGATCTCATGGAAGGCTGTTAAATGGCGGAATTAGAAACGGTCAACTATAGGTGGCCACGAGCAAACCAAATGTAAGGATGTATTACTCGGAAATCTCTTCATATAGGTGATAGCCACGTGCAGGGACTTACAGCTGCGGCTAGATGATATGCTGGCTGTAAATCTCCCATGTTGGGGGTGACGATGTCATGGTGACATGATCACTAAACAAGTTTGTCGCCACTACTGTCTGTCTCTTTTGAAGGTTTGGACGACGGACCGGTTTTTGAAAGCCTGTGTTCGATCCTACAGCCGCAAATGTACTTTTTCCCTTCCGTTTTTTCTTCTGTTCTTCTATGGTTCCTACGCGCATGTCGATACTCGTACTTACCGCCAGTGCCTATAGGTGGTCTTTCTACCCTCACAGACAGCATCAAACGCGACCGAAAACAAATCCTTCTTATTCACTTCTAGTTCAGTAGCCTATCGTTATCAATACTGCACCTGCTCTCGAGTCTTCTAGAATAGATTTCTACCATCGTTTAGCGAGATTCGTTTTGCAACTTCTCATAACCGCGTTCCACAAAGCTGGACAGCATGGGCAATACTATTCTTGAAGCAGCGGAGATGGATCCGAATTGGTGGCTGAAATTCTCGCTATCACACCTTTTCGCTTCCTCAATCTGCTTTCTGAGCTACGCCTTGCAATCTATCCCCAGGTTCTGTTTACCGATGAGCCTCTGCACTGGATAAGACCAGATCTTACATCAGAACACACATCTTATTCATCCCCTGCTGCGTGTCTAACAAACTTGCTACCCGCGAGAAAAAGTTGGCTTACAGCAACAACACGGCCTGCAGTGAGCGCATACATCTCAACAACACGAACAACAAGAACAACATCATCAACAGCACTTCTGTTTACCTGCAAGACAATCTATCACGAAGCCATAGAGCACTTCTACCGGAGCAACATCTTCGTAATCCGGGCTATGACAGTCGGCTTCCAGCCATTCCTGCGACACCAACCGTTTCTTTTGCTCGTTCAGCGGCTGTGTAGCCAGTTGAGAGACCCTTACGACCCTTCCGCCATGAACGTCGATGACCTTAACAGCCTTGTCGATGCCACCGTCAGCTCTTGCCTGTAAGATACTATCGACTGTTGTCCCAACCTCAAGAGTCTCACCATCTGCGGCATTCCAGGTTCGGCGCAGGCGTTTTGTCAGGCATGGCTATACCCACGAGGCGCGTTCACCACTAAAATAGACGACTCATTTAACTGACTTCCTCCAGTGTGTCTATGCTTCCATCATCTCATGCCTTCGAGTTGTCGTGGTAAGTAATGACGTCTCTATGATTGGCACTCTGGCTTTTGATGGGAGACATGGAGAGGAATGGTCGCCGGCGTTGAGAGATGATGGATAAGCTTGTGGGAGGTATAGCATGATCATTCGAAAGCGTGTTTCCTGGCTTTGTTCAGACGTTTTATTTAAAATAACTGCGTCATAAGTTATGTGGGATCGTGCTCGTCATCCTCATGTATCAACGTACTGGAACTCCTCTTCGAGTCGTTATCACATCCATGCAACACGCTGTACCAAGAGCACTCCGCAAAAAACACAGTCGAAGAAGATGAGTACATGAAAACAGCCACCGTGCTTTCAATAGGGAGGTGAGGAAACATGCCTGGTATCAGTGCGTTGAGTTCAAGCGGTTAGAAGTCTAAGGAAAGTTCAGTCATCAACCAACTGTGGGCAGCCCGGAGAAAGAGGTGTAGCATGGCTTAAAGTGTATGTGCATTGCCGTCGGTGAGTGATAGAGAGTCTCATAATATTCAATATTGGTCGCTGGCTTGGCAAGGGTCGTCCTTCTATTGCATCGAGTCCCAATGTCTTGATACAAAAGCGAAACGTATCATAGAAGAACGCGTATAGGGAGCGAGGCATCAAGTTATCATAGCTTAAACCATATATCCGGTTTTGTGAGAGAGATCACCTAACCTCTTCAGAAGCAGAATGCGAGCATCTGCTGTCATGTTTGCGAAGGATCGCTACCCCATGCCAAAAAAAATCCCCTCCGTGATGTTTTAAGGGCAACAACGCGACTACAGTCTGATGTGTCTTCTCATCGCCCACAAATTATCTATGTAAAGTGCATTGGGTTATCGATGTTTTCCAACATTGGTCTGCGTTCTGACGCACAGTGGTTGCCACGCCAAACCCTTCTCGACTGGTTGCATGCTCGGCCTCGATCCTACTGCAAGTCACCTGCGGTATTGCCGCGTGTGGTGGGGTCCCTGCCCTCGCCATCAACAGCCAGGTGCCACGCAACATCTTTCCAGCTCCGCATTGTAGCGAACCGTTCTACTAGGAATGGCCCCGCATTAGTCATTGCAAATCATGGTTAGTTCCTCCCACCTGCTTACTCTTTCCTGTCACTGACCAGGCGAGATAAGCCGTTGCGACAGCTTTACCCCGCCGAGGATGTTAACAAGGAATCCCAGGTTGAGTAATTTTCTCCATACGCCTGCACTCACATCGTCGCTAATTCAATTCAGCATTATAGCTGTACACGGTCTCAACCCGCGTAGCAAAGATGATGAGGAACACGCCTGGGACACGTGGAGAACGCCCGCAGGCGACGACGGGCGAATTTGGCTGAAAGACGATCTACCCAAGAGATACACTAGCCAGGCTCGTATATTCCTCTGGGTCTACAACTCGACGCTGGTATATGGAAAAGACAGAGGCCAGTTCATCGACAAAGCGAACGACCTGCTAGAGGCATTGCGAATTGAGCGCCGGCAAGACCCTAATCGGCCCTTGATATTCCTGGCTCATAGTCTTGGAGGTATATTAGTGCAGCAGGTAGGTCGCTCGGTTTCTTCGGGCTCTGTAGCTCAAGGAACTTACTAATCTTTTCGCTATTGTGGCATAGGCTCTCGTGAACGCCCACAACAATGCGAGATACACACCAATTCGCACTTCGACGACCGGTCTCGTATTCTTCGGCACACCGCACGATGGTGGCAATAAATCTCTGGTGGCGCTGGGATCAGTCGCTGCCCGCGTAGCTTCTACACTGCATTTGCAATCTTCGAACGCTGTCATCGAAACACTGAAAAGCGGCTCGTTGTTCACGGACCTCCTCGATGAACAATGGAGGCATCAGCTCGAATCGTATCAACTGGTCTCTTTCTGGGAAGGCATTGGCAATACTGTCCCTAAGAAGAGCGCCACTTTTGGGCTCTCTGGAACCAGAGAGAACATCATTGAGCTCAACGCAGAACACAGTGACTTGTGCCGCTTCGGTGGAAGCAGGCGAGACCAAGACAACTTCAAGCTTGTTGCAAGTAACATTCAGGACTTGTATGACGCTGCGCTTGAGAGAAGTGAGTCCGTCGATGTTTCTTCTAGAGCGGAGCAAAGCCGTGAAGCAGCTGACGATCCCCGAGGGATTGATCAGGATCTGAAAAAAAGATTTGCGTCTTTGTCTGCCCCGTCTTGACAGATATTTTGCTTTCAACCTAGAAACGAACAGATTTGCTCATAGCTTTTCAATTACTCGACTCCTTTGTCTCGCTCCTCGCCCTTCACTTTTAACATGATCAAGCAGCTGACGAAGTCTACGCTCAGCCCATGTTTCTCTCGCAAATGATTCCAAACACCTGCAAGGACAGGAACAATTCCAATTGGTGTTCTCCCTCGCTGCCGCTCCCGAAATTGATTATTTTGTTGGCCGAGCTAGCAATCTTGTATCGATTGAGTCGGTGCTTCTTCCTTTCACTGCTGCAGAGCGAAAGGTTGTAGTACTTCATGGATTAGGAGGCATTGGAAAATCGCAGCTGGCCATTGAGTTCGCAAAGAAGCATCGAGATGACTATTCTGCAATACTCTGGCTCAATGCGAAGACGGAGGTCACATTGAAACAGAGCTTCGCCACCAATGCCAGACGGTTGCCCAAGGAACACCTTAACCAAGAGCTTCTTAATGGGTCACAGAATGAAGAAGCTCTCAATGCTATCCTACGTGAAATGAAAACATGGTTAGGCCTCCGAGGGAACGACAAGTGGTTACTGATCTACGACAACGTCGACAACCCTAAAATTTCCGACAACAAGAGACAGCACGCTTATGATGTTCGATCGTATTTCCCCGAGGCTCACCAAGGCTCGATTCTCGTGACAACACGCTGGAAAACTCCGAGAATAGGACGCCCCATAGAAGTCACAAAACTATCAGAAGATGAGGAGAGTGTTTCACTTCTAGTCCAAACTTCAGGTAGATCCATCGAGGAAGGTAACTTTCCAGCGATAATTTTTGCCAAGCCCACGCTTACTTTGAAAACAGATCCCAGAACCAAGGATTTGATAAGGAAACTTGATGGCCTTCCACTTGCGTTGGCGACTGCTGGTGGTTATCTGGGGCTGACTGGTATACCTGTATCAGCGTATCTTGACCACTACGAAGCATCGTGGCTTGAGCTTCAGCGGACAAGCCCTTCACTCCCTTCTTACGAGGATCAGACAATATACTCGACTTGGAATCTTTCGTACATCTATATACGCAAAGAGAATAAGTCAGCAGCGAAGCTCCTTGAGCTCTGGGCGTACTTTGACAACCGAGATCTGTGGTATGATCTGCTAAAAGCTGGAGAGGATGAGGCTCCCGACTGGTTTGTCGATATAATCGGCACAAAGTTGGCTTTCAACTCTGCAATAGGGAAATTGCGGAAGCATGCCCTAATTGAGAAGTTGACAGAGTCTGACGGATATTCAATGCACCATTGCGTACACGCCTGGGTGAAGACCTTCTGGTGTACGCCTGTTGAGGGTCAGAATGTGAAGTTAGCCCTTACTTGCGTTGGAGAAAGTTTCCCTTTCAAACCAGCACCAGGTGATTGGATAAAAAAGCAGCGTTTATCTTTACACTTTGAAAGATGCTTACAGCTACTGCCTCAATGGGTCAACAAGAGCAAAGACTCCAGAAAAAGCGAGGATTGTATTTCCACCTTCTTTTGCAGTCTAGGTCGCCTTTACCATGACCAAGGCAAGCTGACGGAGGCTGAATCGATGTACCAGCGGGCTTTGGCTGGCTACGAGAAAAATTCCAGTCACAGATATATATTTGCCACGGTCAACATTCTAGGCATCCTTTATTGGGATCAAGGCAAGCTGACGGAGGCTGGTATGATGTATCAGCGGGCTTTGGCTGGCTATGAAAAAGCTTCTGGATCGGATCACTCATCTACATTAGACACGGTCAATAATCTAGGTATTCTCTATAGTGATCAAGGCAATCTAACGGGGGCTGCATTGATGTATCAGCGGGCTTTGGCTGGCTATGAAAAAGCTTCTGGATCGGATCACTCATCTACATTAGACACGGTCAATAATCTAGGTGTTCTCTATAGTGATCAAGGCAATCTAACGGGGGCTGCATTGATGTATCAGCGGGCTTTGGCTGGCTATGAAAAAGCTTTTGGACGAGATCACACATCTACATTAGACACGGTTAACAATCTAGGTGTTCTCTATGATAATCAAGGCAATCTGAAGGGGGCTGAATCGATGTATCAGCGGGCTTTGGCTGGCTATGAAAAAGCTTTTGGACGAGATCACACATCTACATTAGACACGATTAACAATCTGGGTGTTCTCTATAGAGAACAAGGCAAGCTAACAGAGGCTGAATCGATGTATCAGCGGATCTTACTCAGCTATACCAGAAATTCTCCCCCCAATCCCAAGGGGCAACTAGACCTGTTCTACAATATGGGTTTGTTATCTCGAGAGGCGAAAAACTTTGACAGAGCAAAAGATTTCTTCCATCAAGCTCATGAGGGCTACGAAAAGCACTTGGGATCTCAGAACGCTCACACTATCAACGCGTTGGAAGAGCTCAATGCAGAGATTGAGCGAGACTCGCGAAGAACCGAGAGGTCAGATGGAGAGGGCGAGTCCATGGAGACGGATTGATTGATGTTGTCCGCTTGGTCACCGCGACGAAGCCATTGGATGGCTCTCATATCAGTGCGTTGGACCATTGACATCTTTGAAGGAGCTTGAAGTGGGGGATCTGAGGAAAGGATTCAGGAGGCCAAATATTGCGGAGAGTGGGACTGCAGATAATATTGCAATCAAGATACAACTTTCTGTTTGCGGAGTTCTACCAGTGAAGCCCTAATGATCCACCTCTCCTACCTCCAGGAAAGCACTAAGACGTTGCCCGATGTAATCTTTCCCTTTTCATCCACGGATGCATGGTTGTCGCTGACTCCCAAATTCTTGCACTATCTCCTTTCTGCGCGAAATCACATCTTGACTGGTCATCAGAAGATAATCTGGGGTCCATACCACAGGCGTTTGGACTCTGATGGAGTCGTGTTGGGATGCTAGCGGAGTAAGACCCTTGCCGGCTATCGATACAACCATCTCATGGTATATCTCGGAGAAAATCCCGTCCACAGAATTAAATCGTAGCCCAAGCAACCCGTTCGACTGCTTTGCGTATCAAAGTCGATATGTGGCTAGTTTCTCCCTCTTTGTACCACTGCCGTTCTTTCCCTTCCTCTCTTAAGGCAGCCTGTGGCATGATACGAAGAAAGGGAACAACTCATACAAAGTTCCTTGACGGTCTCTTGCTCTCCAATGGTTACGATTATTGCTTAGAAAGTAACTTCTGACATCTACTTCGTGTTAAGTGGTGCTAGTTACAAATCTTCCTACGGCGCAGCCTGATCATGAGTATAGCCTAGTCGGATAAGAAGGATGAACCCTTTCACGAGAAGACTGAGCATTTGCGCAATATTACTCCCATCAATAAGAAATAGCAATCAAGTCCACGCTAGAATCTCTCAGGCTTTAAACGCTGGCCGAGTGTAGATACGTAGTGATTGTGATTGTAGGGAAAGAAGAGCAACCATACACCAGACTCGCACAGTCAGTCTGTCGGCCTACGATATACGATAGGATCACTGATTTGTGGACGAGGACGACGGCAATGGTTCACACTCACCAAAGGAGGGCGCCTTCGATATCGGCTCGTAAACATGGGAGTCTTGGGAATTGCGGGACAGGGTGTTGGATGGCTTGCGCCCAGGCTATGTTGCAAAAAGCTATAATTGCAGTATTCAGGCCTAGAGAGCAAATGTCGATGAAAGGAACAGTTGGTAGAGTAAAAATGAAGATTCGTGGAGGTTTTGTTAGGATCAATTGCAAAGGATTTGCGCCCTAAGGACGAGAGCAGTCAAGACAACACAGTGAGCCTGCGACAAGGGCAGCAAACGATACGAACTCTTCGATGAGCAAGCCGGCAACAGGCCAGGTAGAGCCCAGGAAGCTCTACAGGAAGTGGCAAAACAGTATCCTACAGTGCCCAAGCTCTGCGCGAAATTAGCGAGGAAACCCTACGAATGAGGTAGGCAGGAGATCCTGCAGTGAGTAGGCAGAGAGAAGTGCTATAGCGCCCATGTACGGAAGCGCTGTGAGTGAAGTGTGCGCGGAATCTCTACGAGTGAAGGAGCCTCGTAAGCCCTAGGGGAGGTAGGCAGGGATATCCTATGGGGGGATGGTCGACGAGTGCAAGAAAAGCGAAGAGAAAGAAGAGATCTAGGTTGGGTGTTTATATACGCTCGACCGGCGCCAGAGATTCGGAAACCCGCAAGATGAATGCCTTTGAGAATGCTGTGTATCCAAAAACGAGTGAATGTGGCAAAGAAGTGTTGTCATGGGGTGACTCCCTAGTCGAAACGAGTCATAGACCCTCAAATACAAGGACTAAAGAACTCGCGTAAGGATGATTAGAGTATTTTAGAGGTGTTGATGTTGCGGATGGGAGCATCGGTATCTGTATGGCAAGGGCCCTCGTCGCTGAAGAGGATTCCCTTTGGCCCCCAAGACTTCATTGTCCCTGATTGGCTTTCGGTTCGACCATCTCAGCCCGTTCGATATTGCAGCTATCGTGCCTTCGTTGGGAAGCAGAACTGTACGACAGGGATGCTACTGGCCTCGCAAAGTGTCCGGTAGGGATTTCACTCTCGATGTTTTAGATGAACAGGAATCACAATTCTCCCTCCCTCCCCAACTGGATGTCAAAACCTCCAATGACGGTCTAATGCCCGTGCGACGAGTCTACAGCTTAGGGAAACGCGAGTGAATGGGAGAATGCGATGGGTTCTTATTTATTATCCGATCGGGATGCGTTTCTGTCTCTGTTGAAATTACTTTGCGCAGACCAAGTTACTCAAATTCTGTCAGTGTCCCTCAACATGCTACTTGATTAAGGGTGGAACTCTTTGAAGGGTACGATTCGCACGTGTCAGGGTCTGAATGGGTGCTCATAGCTTGCATTGTAGTATCACGGAGTAACAGCCACTAGGAGATCTGTGTGCAGCGAAGGCCATTTGTGTTGCTGGTGCTCACGCTAAGCCCTTTTGGGAGGTGCTGTGTTCGAGGCTGGAACCAAGACAGCACGTTGGGAACCGGCCTTCACCAAGGAACGCTCTAGACATGCGTGAAAAATTGGAAGATGAAGCCTGGTAGCCTAGATACTTGTATAATCAAATTGCTATTTTTTGCGTCGCTGATGGAGCGTGGTAGTGTGAAAGAAAAAAAAAGGAACAGGCAAAAAATTATTTGTGAGGTCACTCGGTTCGCTGAGTACATAGTACCACAGTTATGTAGCCGGCACCACGGACAGGTGGACCTCGTTGCCGGCCGCGAGCACAGGCTCATCCACAGGAGACACTGTTGGGCGATCTTAACCTGAGTCAGGTGTTTACCCGCGAACGTCTCCTGCTTCAAAGTCTGTGCTCGCCTCCCTGGGATTTTGTCAGCATGTTAACCGGTGGGCCAAAGAAGCGGGTGGGACTTAACGGGAGGAATTTCCTTGTTGCGCTTTGAGAAACCCACTATTTTCTTTATGTAGTGAATTAACAATTAATCCAATCGGGTAAGGCGGCTCAGGCAAAGCAGCAGCACCGACAGCCCCCCTCTGTTTCCCACCATACACAGTTGATGCTCTTTCCTAAACCAAATCTAGTCAATGCGCATCTTGGGGTGACAGAGGAAGCAAATCTAGGTCGCCGAGTCTTCTGTCATCTTAACCCACCGCGGAAGGGGTCATCTTCGGAAGTCCAACAAATGATCGGCATTTCTATCCATTTATCCATCAATCTTGGGCGCATGACAGTACTTGCACAACAGTGGGTCTCCAGATAGAGGAATAGCATCTTCATGAGGCGCTCACTTTGCAGCAGGAGATCTCGCACTACCTCCTGAGAAGTAGCAGCAAGAGCAGAAGATCGACGGGAAAGGCGATGAGGCCAAGCATCACGAGTACATACATACAAGTGATACGTCTTAATAGAAATGATATCACATCTAGGTTATGATAGAAGATTCACGGATGATGTGGACAAGCGGGAGACGACGATCCAGGGACGCAAGTCTTCGATGGAGAGCAAGATGCAAGGGACTATTTCAGACCAATTTCAAGATACCAAATCTGGCAAGCTTGCTGCAGGTCTTTGGGCAAGTCAAAGGATTAGAGAGCCTGCTGCTTCTGAAGAAGAAAGGACGGAGAAAGACATGTCGTTGGGACAAGATTTTGCCTAGGCTTCTCCGTCCGAGGGTCCTCGAGGTATGATATTTAATTTCGCGACATTCAGGATTTGGGGGACATGTGGAAATGGCATCATCATTTCACAAAGGTGGAAAGCATTGATTGTCGACTATTGCTGTTAGCCTTGGCATGATGCGATTTCCTTCAATGCCTATTTATTTCACTCTATCTGCTATTGCGTCTGTCTTGTCCTCACTGCTGTCGAGGGTGCGGGAAGAGCAACGGAAGAACGTACGACCGATAAGGCTAGGCTATGATTGGAACAGCCATGTGGCTGCCTTGACTACCATGAAGAACTTAAGGAAGAAACCATGATGGTGGTCATACCGCAGTCCATACACACGAAGTTATACAAGGGACCTTTTATTAATTTCACCCGATTCCAGTGGCAATGCCTTACAAATAAAAGCAGTGAATCTACGGGGCGACCCTCGAATCTTGTTCTGCATGAGTCAATCACCTCATACTCGCAACACTTACCAACTCTTATAGAACCGAGCAGGTATAGGGTGTTTGGCAAGTAGTACAGAAAGTGGCTAAGGACATCGTAGCTAGAAGATCAATCAACTTATACCTCTGCACCAAGTCTCCTAACGTCAATTGTGATGTCCGGAGACGGGGTCAGAAAGAGCCATTTGCTATTAATTGATGAGCACTGCCAGGACCTGGAAAAAATTTCGGGCTATAATCCATTCTAGAACATCTTCTCGGTCTCAAAGACCTTGAATGTGACGCATTTTTATGGGTTTGAACCCCTATGGTCTACCAAACCTATTCCGGTGTCTTTGGTACACCGATTCAAGCTCTACTCCGTCATGAAACTTTGACTCGTTGTATCTGGCCAGCTTTTGCGGTTGTGAGTGGAGGCACCGGTTCATTTTGGCTTCAAAAATTCCGACTACGATGAAGTTTTACGGTCTTTACCTTACGCTGCTCATCCTTGGCTTTAAACGTCTCCCCGCAAGACTGAAGTGAAGAAAGAGATTAACGAATTCAAAACGCAGGCAGCCGAGGCTCACGCCAAGAAGTTGGTCACCTTACAACACAGCGCGGCTTCATCTACGCTCATCCACAACCAAATCAGTTTGACTCGTGACAAGCAACCTCCAACTTGAATCATCCACTCGCAAGTTGCAGCTTTACTTATCCTTCCGAAACGTACACCTTGACTCCATCATGTCTCCTCAATTCCCGTCCAAATCGGCAGAAAATCTGAAGGTGGCAAACGTCTGCGGTTACTGTCAGAGACAAGGTATGCTCTCACTGCCGGCACATCACCCAGGGACTAATGGAAGCGTGACAGGACCTTCCGCCCAATCAGCAGCCAACAAACTTAGGGATGGAATAGTTCATC